TTCGTATTCCATTGTTAGAGGTGAAATTCTTGGATTTATGGATGACGAACTTCTACGAAAGCATTTGCCAAGGACGTTCTCATTAATCAAGAACGAAAGTTGGGGGATCGAAGACGATCAGATACCGTCCTAGTCTCAACCATAAACGATGCCGACTAGGGATTGGCGGATGTTTATTGGATGACTCTACCAGCAACTTGTGAGAAATCAAAGTTTACGGGTTCCGGGGGGAAGATGGTCGCAAGGCTGAAACTTAAAGGAATTGACGGAAGGGCACCACCAGGCGTGGAGCCTGCGGCTTAATTTGTCTCAACACAGGGAAACTCACCAGGTCCGGACATAGCAAGGATTGACAGATTGAGAGCTCTTTCTTGATTCTATGGGTGGTAGTGCATGGCCGTTCTTAGTTGGTGGAGTGATTTGTCTGGTTAATTCCGTTAACGAACGAGACCTCAGCATGTATCCTCGTGGCCAGCTTCTTAGAGGGACTGTTGGACGACTAGCCAACGGAAATTTGAGGCAATAACAGGTCTGTGATCCCTTAGATGTTCTGGGCCGCACGCGCGCTACAYTGATGAATCCAACGAGTCGCTTGCCTGGGTCGAAAGGCCCGGGTAACCTTCTTCAGGTTCATCGTGACGGGGATAGATTGTTGTAAYTATCGATCTTGAACGAGGAATGCCTAGTAAGCGCGAGTCATCAGCTCGCGCTGATTACGTCCCTGCCCTTTGTACACACCGCCCGTCGCTCCTACCGATTGAATGGTCCGGTGAAGTGTCTGGAATGCGGTGATCTCGGTGGTTTGCCGCTAGGGGTGATGTGAGAAGTTCATTGAACCTTATCATTTAGAGGAAGGAGAGGTCGTAACAAGGTTTCCGTAGGTGAACCTGCGGAAGGATCATTGACACGTGAATGGCCGATCTTCGGGGTGTGGGACGCTTGCTTGCTCGCCCTTCCGCCGCCCTTTGCCCCCATCCTCCCTGCATCCGCTTTTCTCTTCTGTTTCAGCACCATCTTGGGCTTAGTGCCCAGCTGGCGGCTGGCCCGGCGCAGAGGGGTGGGTGGTGTAGGTCGAGGGTGAGGGAAGTTGGCAGGGTCCGGGGCCTTGTGGCGTTGCTCCCCCTTCATCCCGTCTCGCCTCCGCAGGTTGTTACCTCGGCCCAGCCACACTCTCGACTTTTGGTCGGGATGGCCGTTGGTCCGTGCACGGACAGCCCTGTGGGAGGGTCAGGGGCGGGATGTCGGGTGGTGGCGGCTGTCCTCGGCGTGTGTACCCCCGCTCCTTCCCGTCTCATCTTTGTCCAGACCTCCTTTCCATCCCGGCCTCGACCTCAGCTTCGTGCGGAGCTTGTGGCTTGTTTGGGGATCGAGGGCAGTGGTACAGGTTAGGGGCAGGGTGTGTTGCGGGGTCCTCGGCCCCTCCCGGTTTCGTCCTACCTTCCTTCCCGACGGGCTTCTCCTTTCCGGACAGATTGTCGTCCTCGACGCAGTCGAGGTGGTCTGAATCTCAGGGTGGAGGGCCGTTGGGGGAGGGTTTTGGTCGTAAACGGGGTGGCGTCGGGTTGGGGGGGGGGAGGAGACAGCGCTTGCACCCTCGTTTCCCCGCTGCTCCCCGGTGCCCTGCCTGGCCCCCCGAACGGAGTGTCGGGCGGGCCCGTGGCAGCGGCTGGTGGCGACGGCTTTGCAAGTTCTTCTTGATGTACCTTCTCTGATTTGTCGCTGTCCGGGTTGACAGCCCCCTTCTGTTCTGGTCGAGGGGTCGATCCTGTCGGAACGGCACCGTATTGTAGAACTCTCGGCATACGAATATCTTGGCCCTCGCTACGATGAAGAGCGCAGCGAAATGCGATACTGAATGTGAATTGCAGAAATCCGTGAGCCATCGATACCTTCAACGCACGTGGCGCCCGAGCGTCGATAGCCTAAAGTGGAAGGGAATTGGAGAGCATTCCAATCGGGCCTGTGGGGGCCGCAGCCCAGAGTGGTGCGTTTCGCTTTGACCTGTTGTTGCTTTCCAGCACCCGTTTGTGGGTGGTGGTCTTCGTTTCCCTGAAAACGGCACGTAAGGTCGTCCCTCCRGTTTGTGTGGTCGCCGCCTTCCGTTCGCTCCCATCAGCTTGAGGTGGGCTTGCGGTTGGGGGTGTCGGCCTCGAGCTGTGGAGGTACGTCGGGCCTTGCCTTTTGATCTCAGGTCGGGCGGG